AATTCCTATAATTATATGTAAATAAGAAATAAATTGCACTTAGTAAAGTTCAGTAATGTGTCTCTTGTACCGCTGACCTTTATCGACTTCAGTGACTAGTCAGAAGCGACCTTTATATATTATATGCAGATATTTGAATTCAATTTGTTTTCAAATTTGCATATATAAACTCAAAACGTATACAATTTATTCCATATTGCAACAAACTTTCACTTTTACTATGGTTTATTTATAAAGATGTGATGTCATCAGCAGAAAACAATGGATTGTGTCTAATAAGCAACTGTCAATGTACCATTCTTTGCTTTTGTTCGATCTTGTGATACTTAGGGACTTATACAGAGGCGAGCTTATACAGGAAAAACATTAATAGAACTGATGGATTCGACCGTTACTTGATGGAAATATATTTTATGTAACAATAAAACACTGAAAACTTTGTTTTCAAACTTCCACAGAAATTTATTTGAACTCTTATCACTACAGCTGTTTCGGCTGATTGCCTTTCTCAAGTGATCTATTTTGGCATGCGTTTACACTTTATAGTCTCTAATGAAATAGGTTGAGGAGGGGAGAACTGTTTGTCTCAAACTGGTCATTCAGAATTATATCTGTGTTTTTTATTTTGTTGATTTCCGTAGATTCTAACAAGAATAGCTTAAGGCCTTTATTTTGAATGTGAAGAATTGTCAATTCGTCGTTAAAAGAATGATTGTGATCTAGAAGGTGAAGTGCGTACCTATGTAGAATCTGTTTTTTCTATTATTGAAAACCCTTTTATGTTCTGCTATTCGTTTGTTAAAGTTTCTACCAGTTTGACCGATGTAAGTTTTTGGAGAGTCGCCAGATTTAAGTTTGAACATACCACTGTGTAAGTGTTTTTTATTTTGGCTCTTGTTGTTTTTGATATATTTGCCTAGGTTGTTATTTGTTCGGAAAGCTGGTGTTATTCCTTTCTTTTTTATCTGTTTGGCAATTTTTGTTGTAATTTTGCCTGTATATGTAATCGAACAGAAGATACTGGGTTTTTCTCGGGTGGTGGAAATACTAACTTCAATACAACTTTGAGACAGAAATAAAAATAATTAAGCAAATAGCAGTAAACAACGGATACAATGAACAAACAATTAATTAAAATGTTAAATCAAAAACTACACAAGAAAGCCCTGAAATTAGTATTTCAGTATTTTATATTATTATAATATTTATTAGTATTAGTATATATCTTCCTACAGATGTTCCTGTGGTTAGCTTTTTATCAATCGTATTTTCTGGCATTCGTATTATGTGTCCAGCCCATCTAAGTCGCTGTGTTTTAATAAACGTTATGACATCTGGCTCACCAAAGAGCTGATACAATTCAAAATTATATCTTCTGCGCCACTGCCCTTAGTCGTTTATAGCTCCAAATATTTTGCGGAGTATTTTACGCTCAAATATTCCCAAAAGTCTTTCATCTTTTTGCGTAAGAGTCCATGTTTCTGCTCCATATGTGAGGACCGGCCTCAGCAATGTTTTTTATATAATAATTTTAGTTCTTCTTTGAATGTTTCTTGAGTGGAAATGCTTTTGGAGTCCATAGTATGCCCTATTTGTAAGATTTATTCGTCTTTTGATTTCTTCGCTTGTTTTATTGGTAGCAGTCAATAGCGACCCTAGGTATGTGAAGTTGTCAACACGTCCAAATGTATGACTTCCAAAGACTGTTTCTCGTTCCTCATTTGCTATCGGATCCTTTGTAGCCAACATGTATTTGGTTTTGTCGTCGTTGATGACTAGACCGACGTTTTTCGCCGCTGTTTCTAATTCTAGGAGATATTGCTCAACTTCTCGCTTGCTACGCCCTATTATGTCAATAATGTCATCAGCATATGCTAAGACTTGTATCGATCTATTGTAAATAGTACCGCCATCCCTAATTCGTGTATCTCAGACTGCCTTTTCTAAGGCAATATTAAATAGGAGGCAAGCCAGAGCATCTCCTTGTCTAAGTCCATCCTTTATCTCAAAGGATCTAGAATTCTCTCCCTGTATTCTAACAGTGGCTTCTAAGGTAGACATTGTCATTCTCGTTAATCGGATAAGTTTCTCTGGTATACCAAACTCATGCATTGATTGGTATAGCACTGCTCTCTTGACACTGTCGTATGCGGCCTTGAAGTCGACGAATAGGTGATGGGTTTCAATATTGAATTTTAATGTTTTCTCGAGAATCTGTCTTATTGAATGAATCTGGTCAATTGTTGATTTTTCTGGAGTGAATCCAGCTTGATATTTACCAACTATGCCCACTCTGTAAACTTGCAGTCTTTCATAGAGAATATTTGCTAGTATTTTGTAAGCAGTTGTTAACAGAATTATACCTCTATAGTTGTCACACTGGAGCTGGTCATCTTTTTTATATAACGGGCATATCACACCTTGAGACCATTCACAAGGCATGGTCTCATTATGCCAAACAAGAAGTAAAATCCTATGCAGTGTCTGTAGTAGGGCATCGCCACCATTTTTGTAGAGCTCACTGCAAATTTGATCAATTCCTGGTGATTTATTATATTTAAGCTTTTTAATGGCTTGGGCAATGTTTTCGATGGTAGGTGGTCTTTCGTTTGGGTTGGAAGGTTTCCAATCATTTCGATTTGCTAGGGTGTTATCTGCTTCTTCGATATGATGGCCATTAAATTTTGCATCGAAAAATTCAACCCATTTGTTTAGGATTGAGGCCGTATTATTTAGGATGTTTCCTTCTACATCCTTACAGCTCCTTATTCTTGGCTTAAACTCTTTGCGCATTTTGTTTAGATTTTATATGACGTTGAATATGACGTTGAATAACCACAAATATGTTTAATTTTGCTTTTTTTTCTTTATAAAAATAATTTTAAGAGTTTCGTTTGAATAAAATTTAAATCTGAAAGAAGCAGTTTATGTATGATTGTCGAAAATTTATGTCTAACCCTATTTTCTATTTTTATTTTTATGCATTTTAAGTTGTGATATAACTATCTTTTAACATCATTTTGGTAACTGAATTATTGTTTCAAGGTACAATACTAGGAGGTCCAAGGTACAAGACCAAATTGTACCTCGATCCGTTCTACACCAAATTCAAAATGATTAAATTTATGTCTTAAACATATTTCTTTAAATCGTTTAAATACATTGGTGCTTAAGAGACATATTGTTAATTTGCTATGTTAAAGTCTCAACTCAATACGTTAAATAGTAAAATAGTTACAGGTCATTAAAAAAAACTGTCCCAAGGTACAACACTCTCCCTTATTTTAATTCTATACTTACTAGTAGTGTATGAATTAATTATCTCACAATTCTATTAAAAAATTAAAAGAATTTTGTGTTTAGAAATAATTTAAAATGACAAAAACTTGCAAGAACTTTACAGACGACCAAATCTGAAAATTTTTGGCGCTAAAACTTAGGGTAAAATAAAAAGAATTCCTCTGAATCCTTCAATAAGGTCTTTATCACGCCTTTGTAGAGCATTAAAGGTCAGTGTTCAACAAATTAGCCTATGGAAAACAAAGTATGTTCTAAATCCTAACACACGTATTCTTAAATGCTCTTACACTTCACTGCAAACATTGCTCTTTGTTAATTCTGTACCTTGGTAGAAAAAGGGCCAATGTCCAAAATGTGCTATAATGAGTTAACATCACTACTAAAATAGGCCAATTGCATACATTTATCAGAAAAAAAAGCCAATGTCCAAATAAATTTAGTTTTCAAGTTATGTTTATCTTAATTTGGCCAAAGTCCATTTCCATTAAAATGAAAAAAGGCCAATGTACATCTCACTGGAGTTTGGCCCTTTAGTTATTAGTTTAACCTAAGGGCCAATGTCCAGCTTACTGGACATTGGCCGTGTTCTCATTTCTTTCGTGGACATTGGCCCTAACCACGCCCTAACTAAGACATTGTGACATATGTTTTTCTAACCTCAAAAAATTTACCAGGCTGTGGTGTGATGTTTTGCATTTCTTACTAAGATATTATTGTACAATATGAGTAAAAGAACTCTAAAAATATTAGAAAACTGTATGTAGTTTTCTAAAAATGGTAAGTTATTACTATCATTTCTAAAAATAAAAAATTATTATATTTGATTTATTTTAGCTGGCGAAGCCGAAGGTGCTAGTAGAAGTAAATTAACGTCCACAAGTGGGTTTCCCCCTGACTTAGATTATACCGTCAGTAATAATATAATACCATTACGTCCTTTAACTCCTAGTAAATGGGTAAGTAAATAAAGTACTTGTGTACCTTCTTAGTTGTTTCTCATCAATTTTGTTTTCTATTTTCTGTGGATAATTCACGATTCCACGTTTTAGGTATTTTCTAACAAGGAAGAATTCTTTGGGGAGCAAAGTTCTAAAGAATTAACAACACCAAAGGAAATTCCCTTAGAGGTAATAATTTACTTCATAAAACTTTTGTTGGTAGGCATATTATTATTTACCTACTGACGAAAACTTGCCATGGAAAACTATAAATTAGTTCTGTTGATTTTTTCAGACACATTGTGGCCTAGAAGAAATAGAGCATGTTCCTGAGAGTGATGATGATTCATTTCAAGACCCTGATTATACGTCATCGGAGATTTTAGATGGAGGAGAATACCCGGTTACAGCAGAGTTTGAGGTAAATATTTATTATTATTGATATCTTTTAGATTCATTTTACAATTTTTAGATAGAAAATGAAATTGGCAACGTTGATGATAATATTGATAATGAAATGTTACAAGATAAAAATGAAAACACACCTGGAAAAGATAGGACAAGGAAGCGAATAAGGAATAACAAATCCTGGAAGGAAAATAAAAGAAGAGAACTGAAAGAGAAAGGTAAAGAGTATGTCTCTAAAAAAGGAGAAGGAAAATCAAATGAAACGTCCATGTGATTGCCGGAAAAAATGTTATCAAAAATTCACTGAAGAACAAAGAAAAAGATTGTTTGAAGGTTTTTATAATTTATCAAAAGATGACAGATCAGTATATAGCAGAGACCGTCAAAGAAACAACAAAACAAAGAACAAGAATTAGAAAGGAATGTGAAAAGGAGGACGGCATTAGCCGGAGGAAATTTACTAGAAATTATTTTTTAACTACTGATGAAAACCAGTCTATTGAAATATGTCAAGCGATGTATCTTCAAACGTTTGATTTAACTTTAAAAAAAGTAAGGATAATTGTCGAGAAAAAAAGAGCTAGTCAATCTAATATCTGCCCAATGGATGGGAGAGGAAAGCATTTCAAACATTCTAAAATCCAGACAGATAGAAAAGATGTGATTAGGAAGCATATTAATAGTTTTCCGGCTTATAATAGCCACTATTCCCGGGAACGTACTTCCAAAAAATACCTAAGTCCCGATCTTTCAGTGGCAGAAATATATCGTCTTTATTGTAAATATTGCCGAAACAATAATATAAACCATGAAAAGGAGTCAATGTATAGAAAAATATTCAATGAAGACTTTAATCTTTCCTTTCACAGTCCGGCAAATGACACTTGTGCTAAGTGTGACCAGTTTAATGTAAGTCTAAGAAGTATGGAAAGTAAGCAACTAACTAAAGAAGAAGAAGACGAACAGGGAAAGCTTTTAATGGAGAGGGAAAAACATTTAGATTTAGCTGAGACTGCTTACAAGCAAAAGTCGTTAGACAAAGAACGAAGCAAAGTAGACCAATCATTTGTGGTTGCTTCTTTTGACTTAGAAAAATGTCTACCAACCCCATACCTCCGGAACGGTGTTTCGTTTTATAAAAGGCAACTATGGACCTACAACTTAACAGTATTTGAGACTACCACATTAGGCAATGTGGGAATTTGTTTCCTATGGAACGAGACAGTGGCTGGTCGTGGTGGGCAAGAAATAGCTTCATGTGTAAGAAAATTTATTTTGTCGCTACCAAAAGAAGTAGAAATGCTTAATTTGTACAGTGATTCTTGTTCTGGCCAAAACAGAAACATTTTTGTATCCACAATGATATTGTTAGTGATGGGTGAGATGAAAAAAATAGGAAAAAGTTTGAAAGAAGTACATCATAAATTTATGGAACCTGGCCACACCCATATGGAGTCCGACACAATTCATGCGTCCATAGAGACAGCTAAGAAAAAGACAACATCTGAAATTGAAGTTCCACACGATTGGAGCAATTTCATAAAAAGTGTACGAAAGACTCCTCCCCTTCAAGTTGTAGAGATGGAACAAAAAGATTTTTTAAATTTTAGTAGGGTACTATCAGGAAAATTAGTACATCGTAAAAAGAATGATGATGGGGAAGCTGTACCATGGATGCAAATAAAGTGGTTAAAATATACTCAAGAACATGAGTACCAATGCTTTTACAAAAAAAGTTTTGCAGATGACGAAGCTTTTAAAAAAATTGATTTAAGGAGGGGTTCTACTAGAAATCGAAAAAACGAAATGGAAATTGAGCAACCAGAACCCATTAATTCAGAACCTTTGCCTCTAGCCGACATTAAAGTAAAAGATTTGTTGGGTTTACTACCGTACATTAGTAAATACAACAGGCCATTTTATCAAAATCTTAAAAAATCAAATGACATCGATGCTGACATTATTCCAGTTCCAGACATCAACGACTAAGATATTGTTTAATTTAATTTCTTTTGTTTTGGTTAAATTTAATTTGTATTTTGTATGTATGTTAAAAAATAAAGAATTTTCTTCTAAATCATACTATTTTACTGCTCTGTTGCAGGGCCAATGTCCCATTCCGGCAAAATCTGCACAGGGCCAATGTCCATGTTTTTCTGGTTATAAAAGAAAAATAATAAAATAGTATTCAGTGTAATGAAGCTTGGCATATATTAATACATATTTAAAAAAAACACCACAATATTTTATCAACCGATTAGATATTTGAATAAACAACATACTCTAAACCTGTTAACCCAATTTTCTCTAAACAGTAAAAATGGACATTGGCCCTTTTTCTATTAAGGTACAGAATTATTCCCGACGAAAAATGTCTAACCCTCGTATTAATATTTTGTCGGCCGAACTTTTTCTGTAGCCATAAACTCGCGTGTGCTTTCAAGGTAAATGGTGATATTGTGAGAAAAGCCAGTATCGGTATGTGAATCTTTTGTCACGACTCGTTCAAAATATTCCAATCATGTGTTTTTTAGTAATTAATGGGACTGCATTTTACATCTAACAGAAATGAACATTTAAGGAAATCAAACAAAACAAAGGAAAGCATGTATTGTGTAAGACGGTTATGAAACTAATACATTTATAAATAGTGTGCGGTTTGTATGATTTATATTGAAGATTTAATTTCTTTGGTCCAAAGGTAATAAAATAAAGATTTATAAACTTGAAATATAAGACTGAAATTGTTTTCTACAAATTCTAGAGATTCGTATAACTTGTAATATATTGTTTTTGTTAATTGGCGGTAAATGGATTCTTGACAGTTTAGACTTACGGTAACTGTTATATCCTAAATCGTATATTAATATTAACATGTTCCGAAAGATTTAAAATTTAGTACAATTAAAAATAAAGCTAAGATTAATATATTATTACAAGAATTGATATTAAACTCAACAGGCTTCTGGATTAAAACGCGTCTGTTTTCTGGATGTCTTCTCTAGACTTTTATAGGTCTCATTCCTCCCTCTACGAAGAGGAATTTTTCATTCTTACCAAATCTTTTTCTAATCTTCGTACACGCAAATACCGCCTTCTCTGTAACCTTGCCTTTCTTAAATCGTGTCGTGACCACGACACCAAAATCTCTTTAAATTAAACATCACACTAAATTTGCATCCATTTTTAAAATTCTTAGAGTTCCTAGTTTTTCCCTTCTCCAAAAATCAATTCATTCAACCCAACGCAACTTAGACATAACACGTTACCAACTTTTTAAAATCTTATGGGACACTTCCAATTGTCTTTTTCACCAATTCGCCCAACACATTTTTGACAACAAAACCCAAATCCACAAACGCAAACTGGACCAACTTATCTGTCAGCAACATTCATAGCCCACTTAGAATCAACAAACTTCTACTATTGGCCGCAATTTCTCAGATATTTACATATCCGATTCATCTACCAAAGCTCTGTCAAAAGATTTCAATTTTTCTGTCACCCCTCTTTTGATCCCAACTGAGAAAATTATTTTGGTCGGAAAACCCTTCCGAATGTCGAATGCTATGGCAACAAATGGAAAAATCAATTACAGAGTCAGCAGAACTAATAATAGGAAAAAGAAGGACGAAAACAAGGAAATGGTTTGATAAATAATGCCAAGAAAAACTACAAGACAGACAGAAAAAGCGAAACATTATGCTTCAACAAGAAACAACAGAAAGTAAAGAAAACTATACAACATCACGACGAGAAACAAGAAAACTAATTAGAGAGAAAAAAAGAAAATACAAACAACAGCAGTATGAAGAAATGAAAAGAAATAGACAACAGTCAAATAGTCGAGCATTTTACAAATCTGTGTCAAACGAAAAGAGAGGATTGAGACCTAACTGCATGTCTGTAATGAGAAAAAATAATGATGAATTAATAATCAACGAACAAGAATTACTCCAAACATGGCAAGAATATTTCAAAAATTTACTTAATATACACCAAGATGAAGAACATGGAGAGGATATATACCTTGGGGTGGACCTACCGGTAGAGGACCCAAAAATAGACGAAACATTGCAAGCAATTAACAAATTGAAGAACGCAAAAGCTCCAAGCTCTGACAATATACCAGCCAAATTTCTTAAGTACGGAGGAGAAACTTTACATAGACAATTACACAAACTAATAACACTTATATGGAACGAAAAGAAAATACCAACAAAATGGCACGAAAGTGTAATAATTCCTATCCATAAAAAGGGAGACAAAACCAAGTGCTCTAACTATAGAGGCATCTCCCTACTTAATACGGCGTACAAAATCTTATCGAACATCCTATTAAGTAGACTAACACCTTTTGTAGAAAATTTCATAGGGGAATACCAAGCCGGATTCAGAAAAAATAGATCGACCATAGATCAGATTTTTTCTCTCAGGCAGCTGCTTGAAAAAGGATGGGAATTCAATAGAACCATTCATAATTTCTTCATAGATTTCCGATAAGCATACGACAGCATTAAAAGGGATCAGATGTGGAATGCAATGGCAGAACTTTCAGTTCCAAAAAAACTTATCCAGCTCGTTAAAATTTGTGTAAATGGCTGTAGATCTAGAGTGCGGATAGGTAACAAGCTCTCAGAGTCGTTTGAAATAAACAGTATACTGAAACAAGGAGAGGCGCTCTCACCTCTTCTTTTTAATATAATCCTGGAAAAAGTAGTAAGAACCGCACAAATTAGAACAGAACTACTGACAGTAAATGGACCAAAATTACTACTAGCATACGCGGATGACATTGACATTGTAGGAAATACCGTCACCAATGTAAAAGAAACCTTCAATAAATTAGAGAGAGAGGCAAAAAATACCGGTCTAAGGGTCAATGAAGAGAAAACCAAATATATGTGCATTAACAGACAAAAGAGACGAGCTAGAATAGGACAAAATGTAACAATAGACCCTTATAACTTTGAAAGAGTGGAGAGTTTTAAATATCTCGCAGCGACTATCACCACAGATAACGATATCACGGAAGAGATAAAAGGGAGAATTCAGGCAGCAAACAGATGTATGTATAGCCTCCACAACACTATTAAATCCAAGAGCCTAACACAAACATCAAAAATCAGGATATATAAAACAGTAATTAGACCGGTGCTCATGTATGGGTGTGAGACGTGGACGCTGCAAAAGCAATGGAAAGTAAACTCAGATGCTTTGAGAGAAAAATTCTCAGAAAGATCTTCGGTCCCTATCACGATCCGAATACTAACCAATACCGAATGAGAACAAATGCCGAGGTCAAACAAATGTATAGTGCTAGCGACGTAGTCCAAGAGATTAAATCCCAACGTCTAAGATGGGCTGGCCATATTCATAGGCTCCCTAATAACCGCCTTACCAAGATAATCTGGGAAGAAGTCCCGACAGGAAGAAGGCCCGTAGGACGTCCACGAATGCGATGGAGAGATAATATATGGTCAGATTTAAGAACAATGGGGCTACCCACTGACTTAAAACATCATGGACGACCGTTCGAGATGGAAGCAGGTTGTGCAGTCAGCCAAGACCCACCCCGGATTGTAGTGCTACCAGAAGAAGAAGAAGAACTTCTGAACCTCAGCTTTTTAGCACTTCACCTCTATAACTTCAAACGCATTCATCCTTACATTTACAATACTCCCTCGTTCCATAGAAAAAAATAAAGGAACACCCCTTCCTTGAAAAGACAATAGCCTAAACAAGGTTAAAACTGGATTAATTGTAAGACCAGTCATCACTCGACACTGAGGAGTAGGCAGATTGAGACCTCAGTGTCGTTTGACGGTTCTTGTATTTGTACAGAACCAGATACTGGTTTGTTACGCGTGAGAGGAGTAGGCAGATTAATACCCCCAAACTCCACAGAAACTGTATCCATCTTGATAATGGCTCCAAAATAGGTGCCAAAAGGTTTTAATTTATTTCTTCTCCCGTTTCTGATCGTATATATTTGTTTCTAAGTTTATTTAAATCTAGTGCCTTTCTGTGTGGTCTTCTAATCTTTTTTGGTCTCTCCTCTATCACAGTAACTGCCAGGTTTTGATCTGACCCTATATCAGCTCCTGGGAACGTCGTTTACGATACCTCCTTACTATCATAATGTAGTCTATTTGATTTCTCACTATTTTATTCTTTGGTCTGTCATTTCTGTTTCCATGTCCATAGTTTCCTAGTTGTTCTCCTACCTTACCTTGACCCACCTTGGCACTAAGATCGCCCATTATTATGTTAATGTAAATCGTTGTAGAATTGTTCTATTTCGTTGTTATCTTTATCTGCTTTTGGTGCATAGACCTGAATAAGATTGATTGAGTTATGTCTTTCTTTAATTTGTATTAATATTAAGCGCTCTGAATAAGGAATACAGGTAATCAGAGAATTTTTCCATTTTTTTGAAAAGATGATTCCAACTCCGTAACGATTTCCTAAACTTCTTCTTCTTTGGGTGCCGTCTTCAATGAAGGTTGGCGATAACCTCAGCAAAATCATTTCTGTCCCTGGCTTTTCTTATTAAAGATTGAGAATTAAAACCAGTCCACTCACGAATGTTCTTCAACCAGGAAGCCTGCCGTCTACCAGGACCACGTTTAACTTCTACCTTCCCCTCTATAAGAAGCTGCAGTAGCTGGTATTTTTCATTTCTGTATAGGTGTCCCAAATATGAGGTTTTCCGTGTTTTCATTATTTTTAAGAGTTCTCTGTCGGTACCCATCTTGTGTAGGACCTGCTCGTTGCTCATATGCGCTGTCCAGGGAACTTTCAGCATCCTTCGAAATAACCACATTTCAAAACTTTCCAAATGCCTGAGTGAGTTGATTTTGAAGGTCCAGGCCTCTATTCCATATAGTAAGGTGCTGTAAACGTAACATTTCAGCATTCGGTATCTGATTTGAGATTGAGTGTTTGGGACGTAAACATTTGTTTCATTTTTAAAAAGACATTTCTTG